TGGTTCCGAAAATGCCAGGCCTTGTTTTGAATGAGAGTCTTCAGAAGTTTGATGATATTACGGGAACATTGGATTGGGTTTACACACATGTTGGAGCTGAATTGAAGCTCGAAGTTGGTTCTTCGCCTTATCTCAAGCATGGCAGGTTCAATCTGCCCGGGTTTCATAGCCTCGAGACATACCTCCATCTTGTGGATGGGTTTTTTAGTACAGAAACTACTTTTAGATCAAATGCTAGGAGGGATATTGCCTTGGTGAACAAGGGATGCGACATGTTGGTGGATGATCTTAAAATCCCACAGTGTTGGTATCAATTGCCACACAAGGGGCTAGTAAGAAACGCTCATGGGAGATGGGTTAAACCAAAACGAGACCCCGAAGACATACCTTCACCTACAAGAGAAGCACAAGCTCATGCTCTTCAAGGAGAGATGATGCAACCATCATCAGATTATACACTTAAATCTTTATGTGGTACTTAATTAACATGTAAATTTTGACGGTTGATTAAGAACTTGAATGTTTGGCCTACTTGTTTGCCTTGTTTTTTAAGCATCCTCAATGTTCTCTGTGTTTTACCCTGTGCTTCGTCATTTTAATTTTGGAATGCTCAGGTCGATTGGTTCTCTCTTAAAACGCTTGCCATATTCCGCCCAAATGCACAGGATTTCTCGGCCATAGCACTAACTAAATAATTTTCAATTTTTAGTTTTCAAAACAATGAACAAGACTAAAAACAAAGTGGTTGTAAAAGAACCGCTAAGTGTTGCAGTGTCATATTATAAAGAATAACGTCATTGGAAATACCGATCATTTTATAACTAGACAATGTTTTGTTAATTTAACATACACGCTTGACTCATTGTCTGACAACTTAAATTTTTGAAACCTTATGTTTATCTCTAAGAGCATAATGACATGTTCACATAGGTCTCATATATATACAGCTCATCATCTAATAGTTTTTCGACATTTCAGCCCACTCCAAACAACTCCCACATATTTAATTTCTCTACTTTTATAAACAAAACTCATATTATAAATCATGTTAATTACGTGTTTCAATAAAAATAATAATTCAATTCAGATGTTATTGGCTGACTTTGATAAGATAAACAAAATAATTTCCCACGCCTTTAATAATGTATGGTTCCGCCGTTTTTGTTGTCTAACAAAATCATAATTATTAGACACAGTTTTGGCGTGCTTATAGCCCCATGAAATAATAAATAGCTAGTTGCATATGAGATTTTTTTTTTTTTGTTTGGTTGTGTGGCGGCCATGGTTGGGGCAAACTGGCAAACTGGGCATACATGCATGGTGCTTGATAAAAGATCGGTATCAAATCAATTTGTGTCAACCTTCCAATGAGTATATTTGTATGTAGGCAATTTATTTGTTAGCTTCGAAAGTGTAGAATTTTTTGTTGAGAGTGAGAGAGATACAGGATTCAATTGGATTCTCCATAGATTTGTATTCAAATAATATTGATGACATGCCATAACTTGAACGATTAGTAAAGTAGTCAAGATGTAGTTGATGTTGTTAACTGAGGTAAATGCACTGTTTCTAAAGGTCGTACCTAGTGCACAAGACTCCCGCTTTACGCAGGGTCTGGGAGAGGTGAATGTCGGCTAGCCTTACCCCCATTTATGGAGAGGCTGCTCCCAAGTCTCGAACCCGAGACCTACCGCTCATGGGCGAAGGCACTTGTCATCGCACCAAGTGCGACCTCTTATGAATGTAGAAGCTCGGAATTCATTGCTGCTATATCATCTTGTCATTGACAGTGATATAACCATAGCCAGAGAAAAATAACCCAACTTAACAACCAAAATAACCAAACCAGCAATTAGTGGACGAGAAATTTGGCACACCATTGGACGTACAAGACATATTATTATTGTTCAGGCGCCAAATAACTTAACCTTGGAAACTTTATATTAGAAGTGATGTAAAAATGGCCAAGCGTCTTGAAGGGCTTATGGGGATGGACAAAAGGTTTGAAATTGTTGTCCCGAGGAATTTCTCTTTGTTCTGTTTTAGGGTTTCGCCATTGGCAAGTAGCAACAAGGCTCCAACTCCAAGTGATGAAACCCGCGTAATTAACGAGGTGAACTGCAAGTTTCTGGAGGCCATCAATGCCTCAGGTCGTGTGTACATGACTCATGCTATGGTGGGAGGTATACATGTGTTACGTTGTGCAGTGCAAGTCTTATATATGGAAGAAAAACACGTAGTCATGGGTTGGAAAGCGGTCCAAAAGCATGCAGATGCCATCCTCAGCATGTATTGCTAGACACGTCTAGGGGTGTTTTGTATTAGTAGAAATTCAACTGGGACTAAACCCTTTATCCTTCTAAACGCATCGTGGATTAGCTATATTTTCTCTTATACAGTAAGTGGAGTGCACGTTGACTTTTTTTAAGTGATGAACTTAATGCAGAGCGGAATGTAACATGATAGGTGTTATCACAAGCATGAATGGGCTTCCGTCTCCTTCTTTTCCTCCACCTCCTTCAATCATACTTTATCAAGTCACAGCCGTCGCCACCTCTCAAAACTTCGGCATCCTCGGCAACGGCCGCCTCCACGTCATCGAACTCTCTCCCGCCCCTCTGGGCCCCGGTGTACCCCGCCAACCAATCACCGAGCTCGTCTCCTACGACACCGCCGACGGCGTATACGACGTCGCATAATCTGAGTCCCACGATTCCCTCCTAGTCGCTGCCATCGCCGACGGATCCGTCAAGATTTACGATACCGCTCTCCCCCGACCTCCAACCCCCTTCGCTCCCTCCACGAGCACACGCGCGAGGTCAGCTCCGCCGATCACAACCCCACGCGCCGTGACTCCTTCCTCACCTCCTCCTGGGACGACACCATTAAGCTCTGGACCGTTGACCGCCCTACCTCGGCTCGAACCTTCAAGGAACACACATACTGCATTTACCCCACCGTATGGAACCCCCGCCATGCCGATGTATTCACCTCTCCGACGACTGCACTCTGCGCGTGGGACGTGCGAGAGCCTGGATCCACCATGATCATCCTCGCGCATGAGCTCGAGATCCTCGCGTACGATTGGAACAAGTACGACGACTGCTGTATCGCCATGGCGTCCGTCGACAAGTCAATCAAAGTCTGGAACGTGAGGAACAATAAGGGAGTGACCTGGAGTTGTCACTTCGGAGGGTAATCATAAAAAAATATAAAATAAAATTAAAAAAAAAGGGCAAGCCCAAAATAATGGGTTGCAATGTCATGTGGAGGGCGAAGACCCATATACTCAAAAGAGCTAGGCCCTATAGCTCCAAAATTATTCGGCACCCTGCCGCTATTATCACCAACCAGGTGATCAAAAGTACGCCCAGTACACCAAAATTATTCGGCAGCCTGCCGCTATTATCACCAACCAGGTGATCAAAAATACACCCAGTACTCCAAAATTATTCGGCAACCTGCCGCTATTATCACCAACCAGGTGATCAAAAGTACACCCAGTACTCCAAAATTATTCGGCAACCTGCCACTATTATCACCAACCAGGTGATCAAAAGTACGTCCAGTACTCCAAAATTATTCGGCAGCCTGCCGCTATTATCACCCACTAGGTGATCAAAAGTACGTCCAATACTCCAAAATTATACATGAGCATCACTCATGTCAATCATACATAAACATTCATGAGCATCACTCATGTCAATCATGCATAAACATTCATGAACATCATTCATGTCAACATTCATGAGCATCACTCATGTCAACATTCATAAGCATTACTCATGTTAACATTCATGAACATCACTCGTGTCAACATCCATGAGCATCATTCATGTCAATCAAAACATTCATGAGCATCACAATCAGCTTCGAAAGCTTCATTTACAGAGCTCCAGCTTCGAGAACTCCAGCTTCAAAAGCTTCATTTACAAAAGCTCCAGTTTCAAAGCTTTACTTGCAAAGCTTCACCTACAAAGCTTCAGTGCAGGGTATACAAATACCGCCTCCAAACAACCGCCATTTCGGCCTATACATGGATTCAATTTGAAGTCTTCAGCCAATAGACTCTATTGACTGAAGACTTGGGGGACTACATTATGTACCATATATTGGGCCTCAACTGGGCCTCATGAAAAATAATTGGGGGACTTAGCTCATTATTTATGTACTAAGGAGCAAGCCCTTATTCTATAAAAGGGACTCCTTCACTTTCACTGGAGAACACCCAGTATTCATGTACTGAAGAGCGAGCCCTTATTCTATAAAAGGGACTCCATCACCATCATTAGAGAGCATCGCCACCTACTGAGCAACCGCCTTGCTGCGAGCATCAACTCTAGCCCATCATTTATGTATTGAAGAGCGAGCCCTTATTCTATAAAAGGGACTCCCTCATCTTCAACACCACAAGCCGAGCCAACTAAAACAACATAAGCCACAAACCGAGTAGCATCGCAACATGTGCTACTTCTAGTTGAGCATTATTTCAGATTGAGCATCGCCTCATATCGAGCATCAGTTCAAGACGACATCTAGTTACTTCGGCCCACACATGGACTGAATTTCAAGTCTCCAACCAAAAAACTCTCTTGACTAAAGACTTGGGGGACTATTGTTTGTACCATACTTAGGGCCTCCATATTTAGATCTCGTATAAATACTCGGGGGACTCAAATGTAATTATGTAATAAATGAAGGAGCAAATATGTAATAAGTGATGAGCCTTTATTCTATAAAAGGACCCCTCACTCTCCTCATTAAGGGAGGCCAATTCTTAGGCCATGGGAATAGCTCTCTCACCCTCAGAAGCTCTCACCCTCTCATCCTTTCACAAACAGAGAAATACAATATCAGTGTGGACGTAGCCCAACATTGGGGTGAACCACGATACATCCTGTGTTCTTTACTTTTTTGCAGATTCACGGTCGGATTTACGTTGTTCCAAGACCCCTCCAGTTTTGTGCATCAACACATGTAAAACTGGAAACAAGAAAGTGTAAAGATATTTAGATACTCCATATATAACTAAACGAGAAATTATTACATGATGACAGTTTCTTATTTGGTAAATATAAGACGTCCAGAACGCACAGTACGACTGTCACATTCTAAGAACTACTACAACAATTGACCACTGCTTATTACCAATAATAACAATTGTCGTTGTAAACAGTAAAACCCAAGCACTGCGACAAGTAATTAAACTAGGAAATGAAGGAGGATGCAATTCGTGAAGAAAGTCTTTGCTCAAGAACGAACATAAGTTTACAATTCAATCACATCACCAAACCGAGTTGTTCTTTTAAGCTCAAACCAATCCCTCATCAACTTATAGTGTTTGGCTACACTTGCACATCTTCATTCAGTCTCATATATGGAGTTCTCTTTCAGTATATTTGTATCTTCATCTCTGCGCTAGAGCTGGACTTACAAATTAAACTGCAAAGAATGGAGGGAAAGAGAGGAAATGAGTCAAACAATAATCATTTAATTAACAACAATGTCTTGAAAGACTAAGTTGCGTTACAAGATCCACAGTTCTAAACCCTAATTAAACCTTTGTATGGCAAATTCAAACAGTTACGTACATGAGCCCCCTTAAATATAGAATTTTTCATTCAATACATATAGCACCCTTAGGAAACTACACTAGGACAAAAAATGAGCAAAGAACTATAAGCAAGTACATCTAGTAGCGTAGGTGTTAAATTTCTATTGTAGTTTATTTTTTTGGTAAATAAATTTCCAATGTAGTTTAGTATTTTACTTTGACAATATTAAGATTTAACAGAAATAAATTAGTATCGCCTAATTTATTTCTTGATAAGCAATTAATTTCATTTCGAGTTTCGTATGTGTATGTGTGTGTAGACATTGAAGTTGGTTATATGGTTTTAACATAAGGGAGTTTGTGATCTTCTCACATTGGAGGGTGTGGTTGTCTGAGCTAGTTTTGTCAAACAGACTAGCCAGATCGATGTATTAAAGGTAAGAAGAGAGAGTGTCTATGTCAAGGGGCAGATATAATGTCAAGAGAAAGTGATTGGTTTATGTGAGAGCCCTTCCATTACATACATGCCAAATGACAAGTCGAATTACAAGTTTTGATATAGAAAAGACAAATTACAAAGTGCAAAAAATACTTGCAACTCAAGTGATTAAACGAAAATCAAACTTATATCAAGACAAATTCAAAATACACAATATTCAGCATATAGACTTTAGATTACAGAAACAAACTTTCTCACCACAATAAACCAAGAACGAAAGACTCTTCTCTCAAAAAAACGAAAAATAGAAAAGAAATTAAAGAGTTGATTTTGCACACCATATATGTAAATAAGTTGACATTGAAGAAATGAGAAAAACTTATTAAGCGTACACTAGTGATCAAATGTTTCATGAATCCCAAGAAAACCCTTGAAGAAGTTTTAGAACAAGTTTGGTATCTTTCTTGGATCTATTTCTTGTGTATTTTAAATCAACGAGTATTAGTTGTGATATTTACACTCATCGTCTTTAAAAACTATAAATTAGTTTCAAATTAAATACCTAACAATTAACTACTAATTAATTCAACTCCCCCTTTTCAGAAAAATAAAGTAACAAGTCCATATTCCTAATCACTTTTTCCCCACACGTATTTTGGCATGCAAATGATGCTTTACTAACGAAAGTATATGTATAACGCAATAGAGCAATGGTAATATATATTTCCTGTAAGAATTAATATATAATTCCAATTAAATTCTCCCGAAAAGAATCATACATAATCGAGAAAGATATAAGCATGTTGATATGGCTGCTAGTTTATTCGTGAAACATTAGTTTAAATTGCATTTCAAAGCATTATAACACTTGCAAGTTTAAGAAAAGAATAGTGGAAGCACTTTCTGAAGAACAAACTTAAACCTAAGATCCCAATCACTTAATATATACAAATTAATAAAACAAGTAGAGAACCACCAAACAGAAAAATTAACCAGAATCTTACCTTGTTTATTTTGGCTTTGGAGCTGTTATATTGACACTCCAAAAATGTCATCACACGTATTTTGGTATGCAAATGATACGTTACTCACGAAAGTATATGTATCATGCAATAGAGCAATGGATTTATTTCCAGTAAGAATTAATATATAATTCCAATAAAATTCTTCCGAAAAGAATCATACATAATCGGGAAAGATATAAGCATGTTGATATGGTTGCTAGTTTAGTCGTGGAACATTAATTTAAATTGCATTTCAAAGCATTATAACACTTGCAAGTTTAAGAAAAGAATAGTGGAAGCACTTTCTGAAGAACAAACTTAAAACCTAAGACCCAATCACTTAATACAAATTAATAAAACAAGTAGAGAACCACCAAACAGAAAAATTAACCAGAATTCTACCTTTTTTATTTTGGCTTTGGAGCAGTTATATTGAAACTCCAAAAATGTCATCATACAGTTCTTTCTATACAAATTTCCTTTGTATTTTTAAAAAATTGAAGTACAAAATAAATTTTTGGAGACTCAAAAACAATTTATTTTTATTTTCATTGGTACAGTTTTACTCTGTCAATATATAAATAATAAAGAAAGTGTTCTGCATAGTACATACCAAGGATGGGAAATTGTTTATTGAAGAAGGAAGGCATGCAAGGGAGAATCTCAACTCTCCTCGCCTTCTGATTTCTGCTGCGATTGCTCGGCCGCCGGTTGTGGTTGGAGCATCAGCTGAGCCTGAAGCTGATATTCAAGGGAATTCTGATGATGTGCAGTTGCTTGCTGTTGGACCTGGTTATAATGGTTATTATCAAAAGCTCCACCCAAACCCAATGAACCAGACACCACACCATTACTAGCAGCAGCTGCGGGAATCTGATTAAACCCATTTCCAGTAACTGAACTCGCTGCGGTGTCCATACCATTGATATTGAACCTCACAAGATCTTGCTGATGAGCCTCGAACAATTGTTGCTGATGCTGGTCGCGAATCACAAGCTGACCTCCACCACAGCCCTGCTGGGGCGGAGGGCCAGTGGAAACCCCCAACATAGGCACAGACCCGTTCATGTCTGTTTGTTGGGGCGGAGGAAAAACGGGGATCATCATTGCCTGAGGGCCAATATAGGCAGACAGATCTTTCTTGGCGTTGTAGAGGTCAGTCTGGACTTGCTTGAGCCTGTTCTGGAGGATTGAGATGAAACCAACGCACCCATACACCGGGTCCCGAAGACGAGCCTCCGCCTCATAGGCCAATGATGTCACCGCATCTTCACGGTGTGCAACATTGAGTTCGTTCAGGATCTTGGCGACGTTGCTCGCACCGTAAACCTTGTGAACGTTTGCGAACTTTTGAGGTTGGTCGGGTGGGAAATAGGGGGCGAACACGCATTCTTGTGTGCATTTTCGCCGTAAAAACTTGCACGCAGCGCACGGTGAATGAGTGTTTGACGACATTGTTTTTAGGTTTTACTTGATTTGTCACAACAAACTGCAAAGAGGAATTAACAAGAACAGAATCTAATCGTCAGAGCACGATAAAATATATTATGTAAGAGAATTGGGATTAAGAAAACCAAAATAATTAATTAAAAACGTAATTAACCCTAAATTTAATCCATTTCTTGATGATCAATTATTCTTTAACCCATGCTGAGGATAATTAGAGTTCAAGAGCCAAATTTTGAGAGTTCATTGGGAAAAAAAACCCTAACCCTAACCCTAGCTAGACAATTAATGAAGAAACATCGAGGAAGAATGGTATATATATACCTAAATAGATGGATAGGCGAAGCGATATCTCTCCACAATTTCGAATCCCCTTTGTCGTCTTCGTCTATCGGTCTTTGGATGAGGAGAAAAGAAATGCAAATTAATTAGAGGGGAGTGTTTAAGAGAGTGAAGAGGGGAAGAGAGAGAGTGGTTTTTTTTTTCTTCTCTCCGGAGCCCTGTGCTACTAATAAAAAGGAGAACTGGCAGAATATATATATATGGTGTATGTTAACATAGAAATTAATTAGGCACATTATATATGGTAATATTAAAAATAGAGAAAGCAATTAGGCAAATAATATATAGAAACTTATTGGGTAAAGTACAAAAAATTACCTCAACTATTGGTGTCACGACACTTTCATACCTCATCTTTTAAAATTGACAATGTTATACCGCATCTTACGAATTTGTGACAATATCATACCTCCGTCAGTTTTTCTGTTAATTTCTCTGTTAAATGCTGACGTGGCCCGACACGTGTCCCACTCACTAATCCAATTGGATTAAAAAATAATAAAATATATTTTTAATAATAAAATAAAATAAAATAAAATAAAATATATATATATATATATATATATATTAAATCTCTCACTCTCTCCTCTCTCTCTCCCCCCCTTTCTCGCCACTCTCTCTACAACCCAAAACCCCTTCCCACCCGTCCTCCACCACTCACTCTCTCCTCTCTCTCTTTCCCCCCTTTCTCGCCTCTCTCCCCACTTTCTCGCCACTCCCTCACTCTGCCTACCCAGTTCGTCCCCCCCCAACCCAACGCGCACTCATCTCTCCTCCCCCATCTTCATCTTCTTCCCCTTTTCCCTCTACCTACAACCCAGAAACAAAAAAAAATTCGAACCCAGTTTCGGCCCAAGAATAAGAAGAAGAACCCTATCTGTCTCCTCCCCATCTTCATCTTCGGCCCCTTTTCACTCTACCTGCAACCCAGAAAAAAAAAAATCGAACCCAATTTCGGCCCAAGAAGAAGAAGAAGAGAAAAGAACAAAAAAAATTGAAAACGAAAAAAAAATAGGGTAAAGTACAAAAAACTACCTCAACTATTGGTATCACAACACTTTCATACCTCATCTTTTAAAATTGACAATGTCATACCTCATTTTACGCATTTGTTCCAATGTCATACCTTCCGTTAGCCTGACCGTTAATTTGTCAGTTAAATGCTGACGTGGCTTGATTCGGGACCCACTTTCTATTAAAAAATTAATAAAATATTATTAAAAACTAAAAAAATTATTTAATATTTTTTAAATATTAAAATAATAAAGAAAAGTAAAAACAAAAACAAACAAACAAAAAACCAAAGCTTCGTCCCTCCCCACCCTCTCCTTCCTTCCTTCCTCCCTCCCTCCCCTCCCTCCTCTCCTCTTCTCCCCTATCTACCAGCTGCAACCCAGAAAAAAGAAGGAAAAAAAAAAAAAAAAAAAACCTACCTTCGTCCCTCCCCACCCCCCCCCCCCCCCCGGCCGACGTCATTCTCTCTTCTCCCCCATCCCCCCTCCACCCCCTCTGCAACCCAGAAAACAGAAGAAGAGAAGGAAAAAAAAAAAACCTTTGTCCCTTCCCCCCCTCGCCCAGATCCGGTCACATCCCTCACCGCACCAACCCCACCCCCCACCCCCCCCAAGATCCCAAGATCCCCACACCTGCAACCCAAAATCCACCAGCCCCCAAGAAGAAGAAGAAGAAGAAGGAAGAAGAGAGAAGGAAAGGAAAAAAAAGGAGGAGGAGCAGTTCGTCCGTCCCCTACTCCCCCCAACCCAACCTCCAGAAGAAGAAGAAAAAGAAGGAATGAGAGAGGGAGAAGAAAAAAAAAAAGGAAACCAGTTTGTTCGTCCCCCCCCAACCTAACCTCCTGAAAAAGAAGAAGAGAGAGAGAGATACAGAGAAAGAAAGAAAAAAAAAACCTAGTTCGTCCCTCCCCCTAAAGCCAACCTACAACCCAAAAAGAAGAAGAGGAAGAAAAAAAATAAAACATAAAAAAAAGGAGAAACCCAGCTCGTCCGTGCAGAAGAAGAACAATAGAGAGAGAAGAAAAAGAAAAAAAAAAGGGATGCAGAAGAAGAAGGAGAAGAGAGAGAGAAAAGAAAAAGAAAAAAAAGAGATATATATATATATATTTAACTTTTTTCATTATTTTAATATTTAAAAAATATTAAACGATTTTTTTTAGTTTTTAATAATATTTTATTAATTTTTTAATAGAAAGTAGGATCTGAATCAAGTCACGTCAGCATTTAACTGATAAATTAACGGCCAGGCTAACGGAAGGTATGACATTGGCACAAATTCGTAAAATGAGGTATGACATTGTCAATTTTAAAAGATGAGGTATGAAAATGTCGTGACCCCAATAGTTGAGGTAGTTTTTTGTACTTTACCCAAAAAAAAAAAAAGTGACTGGATGTTTCGGCCCAGGAGAAGAAGAAGAAGAATGAGGAGAGAGAAGAACAAAAAAAATTGAAGATGAAAAAAAAAAAAGTGACTGGATGTTTCGGCCCAGGAGAAGAAGAAGAAGACGAAGAAGAAGGAGGAGGAGAGAGAAGAAAAAAAAAAGTGAAGAAGAACGAAAAAAAAAAAGTGATTGGATGTTTCGGCCCAAGAGAAGAAGAAGAAGATGAAGAAGAAGAAGGAGGAGAGAGAAGAACAAAAAAATTGAAAACGAAAAAAAAAAGTGACAAATCCAGTTTTGGCCCAAGAGAAGAAGAAGAAGATGAAGAAGAAGGAGGAGGAGAGAGAAGAACAAAAAAAATTGAAAACAAAAAAAAAAAGTGATAAATCGCCCAGGAGAAGAAGAAGATGATGAAGAAGGAGGAGAGAGGAACAAAAAAATTGAAATTGGTGCGGGAGAAGGAAAGATGCCGCACCCCTAGGAAATTTTTTTGTTTTTGTTTTTTTATTCTTAATTTTTAAATATTTAATTATTTTTTAATCCAGCTGGATTAGTGAGTGGGACACGTGTCGGGCCATATCAGCATTGAATAGAGAAATTAACAGAAAAACTGATGGAGGTATGACATTGTTACAAATTGGTAAGATGCGGTATAACATTGTCAATTTTAAAAGATAAGGTATGAAAGTGTCGTGACACCAATAGTTAAGGTAGTGTTTTGTACTTTACCCAAACTTATTTATAACAAACCACAAGCTGGTGGACTAGTGGTAAATGACAGATTACGAGGCTTCCTTAATACTAAAAATCGGGGGTCTCGGATTCGAAACCCGCTGCTGGTGTGATAGCCAGACTTGTGGCCAGGGGGAGATTGAAATGTCTTTGTGACAATTATAATTGACATATGACCTTGTGAAAGAATGACATATGACCTTTTGCAGGTTTAGAGCTCAAGATGTTGATTCACCACTATTCTTATAGGAAGACTTTGGATGCGATCTCTATCTATGAATATCCTTTGACTAAAACCTTGTTGGTTTTCAATTTTTTATCAAAGTCCTTGAAATTAATGTGGTAATTTATTTCTATATATGTTACTATATTTCTTAAATTAAAAATTAAAATTTATAGTTGTTTATATTAATAAGATTTTAAATAAAAAACAATAATTTGTAGGATTAAAAATATTAAAATATAAATATATTATTGTGTGTGTGTGTGTGTATATATATATATATAAACATGGGTACATTCATCAAAATTAACCAAAAAATTATTGTAACAAAACATGGGTACATTCTTCAAAAAATCAAAAAAAACAACAAAAAAAGATATTAGGCGTAATAACATTAGTAAATTTATTCAATTAAACTTGACATGGATACATTCTCAAATCAAAGAAAAAAGAATTTACCCATATAAGTTTAAAAATGAATTAGAAAAAAATTGAATAGATTTTATATAAAAAAAAATATGGTACATTTTACATATAACAAATTGGTATATTTAAGAATGAGTACATTTTAAGATTAAAAATTTGAAAAAAATTACATGAATGGGTTAATTGAAAATTTGAAAACACTTTTTTTTTTTAAAAAGCTAATGGGTACAAACTTATTCTAATTTTTTTATTTATTTTGGAAATATGAGTAAATTGTAGCAATGGTCCCTCAACTTTAATCAAATTAAAGCAATGGTCCCTCAATTAAAAATTCATTACCATTGGTCCATCAACTTATCAAAATGTGTAGCTATATTCATTTTTCATCAATTTCGTCAAAATTTTGTCAAAACAAGTTATGTTGGAATAACCATTTATATAATTAGGGTCCCTTAACTCATCAAAGTGTGTAATTATGGTCATTTTCGTTATCTACGTCAAAATTTTTATCAAAACGAGTTATGTTGGAAGAACCATTGCTATAATTGGGTTAAAGTTAAATGACCATTTATCCAGTTGAATTAAAGTTGAGAGACCAATAGTAATGAATTTTTAGTTGAGGGATCATAGCTGCACGTTTTGATGAGTTGAGAGACCAATGGTAATGAATTTTTAGTTGAGAGACCATTGCTCCAATTGAGTTAAAGTTAAGGGACCATAACTACAATTTACTTTGGAAATATTTTGAATTGAAATTAATAGTTAGGAGTTTAATAAAGGTGCGAGTATTAAAATTCTAAATCAATTATTAATTCTTATTTTAAAAAGTTATGTAACTGACATGTAAATTCATTATTACATTAATGTTGGGGACTTTGATCAAAATCTAAAAACTAATAAGGTTTCAGTCAATGAATATTAGTAATTAGACACCGAATACTAATTTTTCCATTCTCATAAATGGGTATTGAGAAGTTGATTCACTTATTAAGTAACGCCAAAGACACCAAATTTGTACAATAAATTTCTTATTGAAGAAAATACAAAAAATAGGTGAAAGCATCAAATGGAAGTTAGAGATGTACATAATCAGATAACAAGGTGTTGTAAAAATTGGGCCAGATAGCACTAATAGTACTCCTTGTAGCGTATGCCATACTTGAGTTTCATTGTGCTCTTTACGTCTAATCACCTCAAAATGAAAAATCATTCTCCTCGACTATCAATATGATTTAGATTTACAAAGCTATCCATTCTAATTCAATTATCTGTATCTGTACTAAACGAGGCTTAAGAGAAGAAGATTGACACCATAAGGAGATTCACGAATATGAAATCAAACAAAGCAAGATGGGAAAAAATAGATTAAACAATAATGGTTTGGGTGTTACATTTTCTGTATTTTTTGTCATTATAGACAATGTGACATGCGGTTCATGATAAACAGGATCCGAGGTTTATATGCTCCAGAATATTTTTCCTAGATTCATTTCATTTGATGAATTTAGCTTTTCACCGGAGGACTTTTCGAAGTGTTAAATCCGCAATGTGTTCAAAGTAGGATTCT